GAAAGAAATTATGAATTAACAATGTCCACTGCATGTAAGGAAAATCTATATGAAATGTTTTATAGATGGTATATGCCCCCTGAGAAACTGGCAAAAATGTTTACAGATAAATCAGCTAAATGTTAGAAATGCCACCAGTTACCAGGTTCATATTAGCACATGTGGTGGACATGTCCTGAAGTGAAAAACTATTGGAATAAAATTAAATTATGGGTGGAGGAAATGATACAGCAATGTATAGATTTAAAACCAGAGCTATTCCTATTGGGTATCTTACCAGAGAAAACTAGTAAAGATAATATATATTTGATTATACATGTAATAACAGCAGCAAGGATTGTTTATGCACAAAAGTGGAAAGCAGAGAATATACCTTCGGAGGGAGAAGAAATAAAAAAAAAATTTAGATTGTGCAGAAATAAATAGATTAACTATAATGATAAAGGAAAGAGAAGATACAGAATATTTTAAGACATGGAATAAATTTTATTATTGGTTAGAAAAGAGATACAAATAAGTTTTTTAAAGAGATTTTTTAAAAAAATTTGGTGGTAATTAGAATAATATATTAGTGGAAAATCTTTGTAATGGATTTGGTGAGCTTGAAGACAGAAGAGAAGAAACTTTTGAAGAGAACACCGAAATGTCATATGGAAAAAATGAATGATGTACTGAATGTTTGTTGTCTTAAAAAAGAAAAGAAAAGAAAAGAAAAGAAAAGAAAAGAAAAGAAAAGAAAAGAAAAGAAGAGGAAAGGATTGTTTAGGGTTTAACCTTATTCCTTGATGATAAGATACCAGAGTGTGACCCCAGAAAAACTAGTTTGGAATTCAAAAGATCATTATGATAGGATGATCTGTGCTTTTCAGATCTTCATATAATCACTGAAATGTGATGGCCATTGCTAAATGCAAGTGTGTTTATTTGTAGCTCTATCTGCAGTTAACACAGATGTTCTGTCCCCCAACAATATATGGAGAGAACACTAACCCTAACCCATCTTCTGAGGATTGTCATGCATGATCTCAGTATCCATGTATGAAAGGTATTTTATATTCTGGTACACATTTTTATGTGCTGTTGTTCTGAGTTTTCTGCATTCATGCTGTTTTCTGTTTTGCCATATGAAATAATAATAATCTGAATAAATATTAGCTTCTGGACTGGAGTGGGACAGTTTTGAGAGAGAGGGGGGGAAGAGAGAGAGAGAGAGAGAGGAAAGAGAGAAGGAAGGAAGGAAAGAGAGAAAGAAAGAGAGAGAGAGAGAGAGAGAGAGAAGGAAGGAAGGAAGGAAAAAGAAAGGAAAAAGAGAGAGAGAGAGAAAGAAGGAAGGAAAGAAAGAAGAAAGAGAGAGAAAGAGAGAGAGAAAGAAAGGAAAGAAAGGAAGAAAGAAAGAAAGAAAGAAAGAAAGAAAGAAAGAAAGAAGGAAAGAAGGAAAAAGAAAGAGAAAGAAAGACAGTTGTAGCCTTTCCAATGTGTTTGGAGCCGATTGTGGGCGTACAAATATGCCTCCATCTCCTTTTGTCTCTTGAAAAAGGAAGGCTATGAAATATGTTGCTCAGTCATTATTTTTTTAGCCTTCTGACATGCTGGGTCTTTTCCCAATGTTTGATTTTACACTTTTGTCAGAATCACTGAGCCAGAAGGAGCAGAAACAGACGCTGATTGGAAGAGAAACTTCCCGGAGGACCAACCCTCCTAGTTGGTCTGTTGGACTATGTAACGTTTGCCTTTTGTAGCAGTTTTATTTTTAAAAAATACCCCTGAGCTGTAAAAAAAAAAACAAAAAAAAAACAGGTTTGGTTTTGTTTTTTTCACAAGAAAAATGCTGGAGGGCTGCGATCTGGTGCTTTCTGGGAAACGTCGCCCATTTTCCTGGAAGAAAAGTCCAAAAATAAACCAGAATAACTGTGGACATTGTAGAGTCCTAGGCGCCCTCTGATCTCGGTTGTTTGCTTGCAGGTCGTTACCCAACTGGGTATCATCTTCATCTTTGTTTACCCTAGTTGAGTAATGGAATGTCTGCAAGAGAACCAAGGACTCCACAGTTCAACCCTGAGTTAACATCAAGATCGCGAGAAAGCTGTAGTACCGGCTTTATACTGCGCTACTGAGACTACGCTCGGAATACTCCATCCCAAAATGAGGACCCAGATTGTTAGGGGGAATACACGGACTCTGTAAACTGCTTAGAGAGGGATGTAAAGGACTGTCAGCAGTATATAAGTCTAAGTGCTAGTGCTAAGAGAAATTTGGAAGAAATTACTAAACACACTGAGAATATGGATAGGCTGAGAGGGAAGGACGCCCCCAAAAAATCAGCTTCCATGGTTGAGCAGACTTGAATCTGAGTCTCTGCGGCCCCAGTTCAACACTTTAACCCTTAGGCAACATCTGCTGTTACCTAGGGTGCAAATTCAGGAAATCAGTAAGAAATTAGGCTTTTTTTAAAAAAATACAAAGAATCTGAAAGCAAAACTATGGAGTTAAACATAATTCTTGACTTATGACCATTTGTTTGGTGAACGTCAGGAGTGGGCTCCTACGGGTTCGGCAAGGTTCGCGGGATCCGCTAACCAAGGATCGCTAGGGTTCAGCGAACCCCCAAATGCCACCCAGGCTAGCCACACCCACTCCACCTCTCCCAGGAGTCCCCAAGCGGCCTGTTCATCATTCCAGGTAAGTGCAGGGGCTGCGTGGAGGGTCTGGGAGAATGAAAAACGGGCCTCCAAAGGTTCCGGAAGTCCAGAAACGGGCCTGTTTCCAGCCTCCGGAGGGCCTCCAGACCCCAGGGAAGGAGTTTTCGCCCTTCCGGAGACTCGAGGAAAGCCTCCAGAGCCTGGGGAGGGTGAAAAACACCCCCTTCCGCCATGGTGCAGCCGGCCGACTAGGCCACACCCACTATGGCCACGCCCACCCAGCAACAGGGCAGCAAACCCATTGCTAAAGGATCTGAAGCCCTGAATCCTGGTGAACCTTCAAGTTTACAATGGTACTAAAAATAGGTCCGGTCTTACGACCAGTCTTGGTACATATGACCGTTGCAAAGTTGTTGCAAGCAAAGTTAGCAGGTGGATTCGCTTAACGACAGTGGCACAAAAAAAAAAGTTGTAAAATTGAATACGGTTATGTGATGACTTATTTAACAACCTCATCATATGAAGATTGGCTTTTTGTATTCTAGAATTTGGAATCTAGAATTCTTTCTTTCTTGTGGTTTCTCTCATGGGGCATTCTTTCTGAAAGGACATGTCTACAGTTGAGGCATGCATTTATTAATTTTTGGACGGAAGAAAGAGGTAGGCACAACATAGATAATATAAGCAGTAATCTCATCTTGACACTTTTCACAGCTGAAGGTTGAAAAAGTGAGTTCAGTTTGGATAGCAAACATTCCAGGAGAAGCCCTACCCTCTGCTGGCTAGAGAAGGAAATTCATTTTAGCTACTGATTAAACCAAGTTTAATTCTCTCGGTTTATTTCCAGAAGAGAGAAAAAAAATCCCAGATCAAATATAGCTCTTTAGGATCAGAGCTATGATCACGTCTCCGTGGTCATGTGGCCGGCATGACTCAATGCCAAAGGGGCACGGAACGCTGTTACCTTCCCACCAAAGGTGGTCCCTATTTTTCTACTTGCATTTTTTACGTGCTTTTGAACTGCTAAGATTGGCAGAAGCTGGGACAAGTAACAGGAGCTCACCCCATTACGCGGCACTAGGGATTCGAACCGCTGAACTGCTGACCTTTCGATCGACAATCTCAGTGTCTTAGCCACTGAGCCACCGCGTCCCTGCACTTTCAGATTAGTTCCATTATTGTTAGTAGGAAAGAGGGCATATTTCCTCTTCTTTGGTGATGCATAAGAAGTCACTGTTGTTATTGTTGCACAACCAGGTGTCGAGTGTGAATCCAAAGAGATTTCAGCCGATTAAAAACTGTAATCTCCTCTTGGAGAGGTTCCTAAGAAACGGGAGAGTGTAACACAAGCTTGACACACCCCATAAGAAAGTGAGAACATTGCATAAAACAATTATGGATGTTGGGCAGGTGTTGTTGTGGCCCGTCAGTGGCCTGTGCAGTTTGTAGCTGAATCTGACAACGAGGAGGCTGGTGTGGTGCTGCACCAGCAGCCTGTGCAGCTGGCACTCAAGTCAGACAATGAGGAGGCTGGAGAAGATGTGGTGCCAGAGGCAGGGACTCAGCCAGGGCCTTCAGAACCTCCAGAAGCTCCTTTAAGTGAAGAGGATGAAGAGGAGGAACCTCTTCTCAATGCATGGGTGCACAGAGCTGCCAAAAGGCAGGAGTGGTTCCTCAGGAGGAGGTCTCCTCGAGAGTAAGGCTTGGGGCCAATTGGCCACTCCCTTAGCCTATTTAAGGAGGAATGCTATCTGAAGCAATTTGTAGGGAATAACTTTAGTTCACTCTCCTTCGTGTCTGGATTCTCTGCAAACTGCTTCTGGGCTTTCTGCCAACCATAGTAAGATTGTGATTACTTTATCTTTGGTTTCTTGTAGGCTGTTAAGAAAGTTTATTAACAGCCTTTGTTTGAAAAAGACTGAGTTATTTTAGTAAATTAAGTTTTATACAGACTTTGTGTGTGCTGCATTCTTTGGGGTCCGTAGCTGGGGCAGAACAGGTGTTGTGAGGTTCTTGCAAGATTTCCCCACTTTACATAGATGCCACATTGATGTCTGGAATCATGGAGATTTGTCACACTAAGCCAGAGAAGATCTTTAGCTGGATTGAGGTTCTACTCAAGTCCTTGTGTCTAATCGAAGAACTTCATGTCTACCAATTTCAGTGAATTACACACACAAACCCTTTATTTGGCCAACCCAGGGGAGGTCCACTCGGTTGCTTATCTCATCTGAAATTTGATTTTAGTTGTTTATCACAGGTCAATCCTCTACTACACCCAGGCCCTCCATATTCACTTTACATCCAAACACAAGAAAGCCATAGCGAGTTATCATCCTTGAAAATCAAAACACATTGGTGTTATCCGTAGCACTTCATCAACTTTTATTAAGTTATTAAAATACGACAAATGTGGAAAAAAGAAATCTACTCGTTTATACACAAAAAGAAATGGTTTATAAAAACAAGGAGCCTTGGCAGACAGCGTTCTGTACAAAATACTGTTAAACCGAAGAGCAACATGGTTACTCTGCTTCTGAAACTCTCGAGTGTCTCAACACACCCAACTCAAACAAGCTTAATAGCAAGAACTCTCTCAATTTGCACTTATTGCTTCTTACACGGAGTGACCTCTGAACTTTGCTGCAGCAGCAACACCTTAAGTGAGGGATCAACTCCCATTTAGCATCTGCACAGTTATGGTATATACCAGTGATGACTAACCTTTTTGCCATCACGTGCCAAAAGCGGGGGTAGCGCCGTGGGGGGCCACATGTGAGTGTGCCCAGCCCCATAATTCAATGCGCCCACCCCCCTGCACCTGTGTGACCCTCCCCCGAGCTCCCAGCGTTTTTGGCATGTGATGGCACAGTGGGCCTGGTAGGGCTGTTTTTTGCTCTCGGAGTGGGGCGGGGAAGGCGGAAACGGCCTTCCCCGCTCCTCCGGAGGCCAGAAACAGCCTGTTTCCCAACTTCCGGTGGGCCCGGAAGGCCCAAAAATCAGCTGGCCGGCACACGCATGCACACTGGAGCTGACCTAGGGCAACATTCACGTGCCCACAGATATGGCTCTGTGTGCCACCTGTGGCATGCGTGCCATAGGTTCGCCATCATGGGTATATACATTCATACATCTACATACATACATGTGGGTATATGTACATATATATATATATATATATATACATACATACATACATATGTACACACATACATATACATACATACACACACATACACATATATACATATACAGACACATACATACATACATACATACATACATACATACATACATATATACATATATATATATATATATATATACCAGGAGTGGGATTCAGCTGTTTTGGGCAAACCGTTAGTGCCGATGATCAGCTGAGAGCGAACCGGCTCGCTCCAATGATCAGCTGGGCCTGCCGCCTGCCCCTGCATTATACTGACCTATATTTCCTGTGTTTGGAGCCCAGCTGATAGGCGCGGCAGAGCGGATTTCCACGCCTCAGCTGTTTTACTCACCGGGGCTGCAGTAGAAGATAAGTGTTAGAGCTGTTTCCAAACATACTGCGCACGCGCGGAATGTGTGTTTGGCGCGTGTGCTTAGCGAACCAATTTTTGCACCGGTTGAATCCCACCATTGATATATTCATATATATATATATATATCTATAAACACACATACACACTCGTTCATTCACACACACATACAGATGCTGGATTATATATATAATCTCAGTACTATATTTGGTCCTCAGAAAGTATTTGGGTTTTCAAAAAGCCAAATATCTGTGTGGATTAAAAACTGTTTATAAGCACTTGTGATTTGCAAGACACACCTTGAGCCTAGCGAGGGAACCCAACCCTCAGATGCTCTTGGTAACTAATAAAACCAAGAAATACATCCTAGGGCGGGGCCTCCAGCCAAAATCATCTTTAGCCAGTGAAAAACATGATTCTTGAGTACTTAATTCCATAAGCTATTAAAAAAGCCATTGTGGCTGTTAACACTTGGTTCGGAAAAGCAAGTTTTGTACAACTAATCCTCTACTTGAGGTTCATTTGTGGCCGTGACTCACTGATAAATTAAGACACGGGGCAAGTTGGAATCTACTTAGAGGTTACAAGCCAACATAATTCTCAATATTAAGTGGTAAGGACAAACACTTTTTCATTGATCCTGGATGGCCGCATGTATAAACTGTGGGTTGTCAGAGTAAGAAAGACCACACAAATGGTCCAAAGATGAATTTTCAGAGGATGACACCAAAAAGGCACCACATTGACAAGAGTAAAATTTCTTGAAAGAACAAAAAAAAAAAAACCAACAACAAACATTTATAGAAGCACCAACAAGATAGCTAAGGAAGTTTTGCCTAATCGTATTTGACAGCTAGCAGTGGATACAAACATTGATATGAAAACTGTCACTTACCTGGCAGGGCAGTGCCCAACCTTGGCCACTTTCAAAACCTGTGGACTTTCAACTTCCAAAATTCCACAGCCAGCATGTTGGGAAATTCTGGGAGTTGAAGTCCATAGGTCTTAAAGTGGCCAAGGTTGGACAGCTCTAGCCTATATGGATCGAGGATCAGAGGGGAAAATTCTGACAGCACGATGAAATTGGATTGAGGCACGCACAGAAGTGTCGCTTGGTCTACCGAGCAACCGATTCCTCTATGGACGTGTGTGCAATCACTGGATTAATATTAGGATTTAAGTATCAACTGAGATTAGCGGTGGGCATCTGCACATTTGGGGAGGGAGAGCCACTTAGATGCCCGCTTCCTGCGCCATGCATCTTGTAAACAGTGTCAAGAGAGGCAAACACTGAAGGAAATTTCGCATCCTTCTGCCAACATGGAGTTTCATATCCCATTCTCGGCACCAACGAGCTCAGCAGAATTTGCTATCGAGGCCAAACGAAGGATCTACCCTTAAAAGGAGCTTAGAAAAGTGCTTTTTTTTGGCCCCACTGCTTCACCTACCACTTAATGGTACCTTGAGGCTTTAAATGTAGGCTAGACACGATGCAATGATTCCTATGAAACATTTCACTCTCTAATCAAGGCCACGGGAAGGTGGCTTTTCAGGTTAAAGGGCCACTGTGATTCCAAAGAACCAACAATTATAACTATATTAAAAAAAGAGAAATTTCCTGACAATGTCGAGAGGCGTGGCTTCGCAGAGTTCTCCTCACAGAAGAAAGTGGTGGAAAGTTCGAGAAGTTGTAAACCGGTTCACCGCGATGCTCAGCAACCTTTCAACAAAGTACGGGCATGATTGAACAAAGAAACCAACACCGATTCGATGCTAAAAATGCTTTTCTCGACTTGGATAATAGGATGGGTTATAAACCCTGATCCCCTTTGCAGGCAATCGGCTTGCGAGTCCGTCCTAAAAACATAATGAACTGAACAGCGCAAAATTTTACAATCTAGGAAAAAGAGGCAGAAACATATTACATGTTAGTGACGGAGCAGATGTTTTCTGCCGATTCCATGGGTGTGTTTTCTCAGGCCCCGCAGGCCAAGGTCTTAGAATCAGGAACAATAATACCATTTGCTCAAGGAGTCTTCAAGTGGTGCTCCGCATTCCGGTCAGAGAAGGCCTGATTTGAAATCACGACGTGGAAACATTACAGATTTGTTCTGATATTCCAGCTGGGAGGTTTGGCACAGATCTCAAGGTTTTTGTTTTTGGGGGTTTGTTTTTGTTTTTGTTTTTTTTTGCATTCAAAGCATTCGATGAAACCACCAATTTGGAAAAGGTCCAATTTATCATTCAAACGTCCGCAACTACATTCAACAGACAGGAAGTCTGGGTGGAATAGGACAATGCAAGCTGAAATCAGCAACAGGCTGCATTCCTCTAAAGCAAGAATTCAACTTCGGCAGTTTGTGGACTTCCAGCTCCCAGAATTCCACAACCAGCACGGCCGGCTGAAGAATTCTGGAAGTTGAAGTCCACAGGTCTTAAAACTGCCAAAGTTGGACGCTCCTGTTGTATAAAGAGACTCAGGTTATTTGCTATCGATCAGATGACTGCAGATGACTACAGCTAGGAATACCAAATGGCAGCCTTTGAAACATTCGTCTTCTCCAGCTCCAGATAATTTTAGGTGTTGTTTCTTCAAAGGACTCCCTCACAAGCGCTTGCTGCAGATCCGAGGGATGCCCTTCTATTTTATTTTATTTTATTTGAGCTTTATGCAAGACGATACAATCAAAGGAATAGGCTGGAGAATTGACACCCCCAGGAGAAACACCAGAAGAAGAGAAAACATGTGTATCGAGTGTACATCTGGATTTGAGGAGAGATGCTACTGAAACCGACTCCAGTGGCAATATGTGCAACAGCAAAAAATAATGGGATTAGTATCTCACTTCAAAAAAAAAACAAAAAACACAAAACGGGTTGTTAAGAGAATCCCTCCAGATCTCAAAAGCGAAAGGCATCTGGCTAAAATAATTCTTATCTGAACACTGGCCCTTTGTGACCATATTGACGCCGTCAAAAAGTATTGAAGTTGCAGCTCCTGTAATTGATGATCTAGATCACCGGCTTAAAATATAATGTGAAAGTCATTGATGGCGAGCAACTTTGGCCTTCCTCTTGTCAAGTAGGAATCAAATGAAAACACTCGTCTCATTTTAGGAAACCTTGTTAAGTTCCTGCGTTGCCTTCAAGAACAGTTCACATTTGGGCTGGTGAGGCTAATCTAAGGTTAAACCCATGCCTGTCTAGTCAAACACCCTTTGCAGGGGGGGGCTTCACAATTCCCAGGTTTATACTGGCAACAACGACCCAGTATTGGTGACCTTTTGGCGAGGACATCCTAAGGCCCTGTCCGTGACATTCTAGCTCAATAAATATAGAAAGAGGAACGTTGTTCTCTGCATCCCAGAGAAGTGGCACACCGCCTTCATACAGATGGGCACCGAGACGTGGCACCTTGTGCATTTTGTCAGGCCTGTTACCAATGTTACTCTAAAAAAACAAGTAACCCTTAACTGATTTCCAACGAGATTCGATAAGCCCGAGGGAAAAGAAAAAAAAAAAGAAACAGCAGCAGCTTTAAAAATAGAATTCCAAAACATTCTTTTGTGCTTCCCCGTTGGAAAAGGAAAAAAAAAAAAGGGAAGAGTCTTCAATCCTCTTGGAGGAAAAAGTGAAACTCTTACTGCATCATGAGCCGAAAAGAACTTTTTTAACGTAGGAAATGGTTAAGTTATTATAGAGCATCTCGATATGTTCACTTCCTGGCAGCTCGTAAAGCATCACCTTTTGTTCCTGCTGACCTATCCACTTCTGGCACTGTAAGGCACTTTCTAAGTTTACTGTTCCGTCTCCGTTCCCGTAAAAGATCTTCGGCTCTTTATCTGGTAAACTGTCGTAGAAAAACGAATCCGGGGTATTGACCCCAGTGCCGTAAAGGCAGTGCGTGCGTACGCCCGGGGGATTCATGCTGTAAATCAACGCTTCCGTAGCTTTTCTCATCAGCCAACCGTCTTCGAAACCGATGTCCGTGTAAAACTTCTGGAAATCCCGAATCGTGTAGTTTGCGGAAGGCGTGCTGACGAAGATCTTCCCCGGGGACCAGGTGTAATTGTAAGGAAGCAACCAGTTGGTGGAAACGGCGGATCTCTGCTGGTCCCTGATCTTGAAGGAGCTGATCACGGGGATCCGGTTGTTGTCCCCTGTGACATTAAAGCAAGGACTCGTTAGGAATTCAACTGATCATATAAACACGTTAATTCCAGTTTAAGCAACCAGAAAAGAGAAGGGAAAAAAAGCACAACTTGGAACTTAAGAGTATTTTCTAAGAAATTACATAAGGACCCTTTTCCTCAACAAATAATGTGGAGAGGAGTACTCATATTGCAAAAGTTGGAAATAACAGCTTGAAGCATGTTAAGAAAAGCAGCTCTCCTTCAGTAACAGAATTGGAAGGGACCCTGGAGGTCATCAAATCCAACCCCCTGCTCACGCGGGAGACCTGTACTAGGGATTCGAACCACCAAACCGCCCACCTTTCTGATCGACAAGCTCAGAGAGATTATATCAGATGAGTTTTGAAGATATTGTTTGATAGCGTCTTATCGAGACCATTTCTCAACACGGACAGGGCAAGCCATTAGTACATAAAATGAGAGGGAAACCCCACCCCCTTCTAGTACTGACGATGTTGCCTAGTGTGCTAATAAAACGTCTGCAAGAAAACAACCAAATGAGAGAGCCCCAAGGATCCCACATGATGTTACCTATGTTTCCTAATCTCTTAAAATTAGGAAAAGCACCAATGGACCTTTAATTATCAGTCAACTTCTCACAATTACGGAATCCATCAAGAAAAACTCAAAAGCATTTTTGTTCTCTTGAGATCCATTCATTCTTTTCATGGGTGTTTCTGGGCAGTCATGGAAGTTGCTTTTTCGTACACAGCTAATTTCCATCTCTGAGGTACAGATAGTTCTCAATTTACAACAGTTCACTTAGTGACTGCTTGAAATGGTGGCTTCCATTTTCAGTACATGAAACACTATTCCAGGCACAGGACATTCTGGTTTAATTCTGAATCATACTTATGTTCTGGTGGTACTCCACACATCAATTTACCGTATTTTTCGGAGTATAAGACGCACCTTCCCCCCCTCCAACCCAAAAGAGGCTGAAAATTTGGGTGCGTCTTATACTCCGAATGTAGCTTTTTCGAAGCTTTTTTTTCCAGCCCTAACGAGGCGCTAGCGAGTGAAGCAATTTCCATGCTTTGCTCCGATTCTCAGCTGTTCTTTAGAAGCTTTTTTTCAGCCCTAACTAGGCGCTAGCCAAGTGAAGCGATCTCCCTGTGCTTTGCCTGCTTTTCTCATTGCTGCTTCCTCTCAGCTGTGCCTTAGAAGCTGTTTTTTTATCCCCAAGCAGGGGATAAAAAACCAGCAAACTAATGTGCTGAAGCTGACCAGACTAAGGACGCTAGCCAGATGAATACTTGGTAGGCAGATTTTTTTTTTCCTATTTTCCTCCCCAAAAACTAAGCTGCGTCTTATACTCCGGTGCGTCTTATACTCCGAAAAATATGGTACTTGGCTAGGAAGATTTCTGTCCCCATTTCAGACCTCATCCTCAACCGCACTGAATTTTCCCAGGCTTGGTGTTTTGCACACAATGACATACAACTAAATGTATGTTTTCCAAGGCTACAGTGTGTAGTATTAACCTCATGGTGAGAACAAAACACCCTTTCTTCTAAATGCAGATTGTCTGGAGTATTTAAATCCCACCATTATTATTTGGATAACTAACTCGAGTTGGTGTATATACTGAATAGTCCCCTCCTCCTGTTTTCCCCACAACAACTCTGTGAATTGTGTTGGGCTGAGAAAGAGAGCAAGAGCAAGAGCAAGACAAGACAGACTGACCCCAATTCACCCAGGCTTTCATGGCTAAGCCGGGACTAGAACTCCCAGTCTCCTGGTAATTGACCCAAAGTCAACCAATGGCTTTCATGCCTAAGGTGGGACTAGAATTCCCACTCTCCTGGTAATTGACCCAAAGTCAACCAATTGGCTTTCATGCCTAAGGTGGGACTAGAATTCCCACTCTCCTGGTAATTGGCCCAAAGTCAACCAATTGGCTTTCATGCCTAAGGTGGGACTAGAATTCCCAGTCTCCCGGATAATTGACCCAAAGTCAACCAATTGGCTTTCATGCCTAAGGTGGGACTAGAACTCCCAGTCTCCTGGTAATTGACCCAAAGTCAACCAATTGGCTTTCATGCCTAAGGTGGGACTAGAACTCCCAGTCTCCTGATAATTGGCCAAAAAAGCCCCCAGCTGTCTCCTGATTTCTAACCTGGTGCCTTCATCACCAAACAAGAATTATAGTATTGCCCAAATTACTCTTTGAGGATCAAAGTATGCTGAACATATCCAGCTGTACCATAGTTCCTCATATCCCTCTAAACCCACCTACCTGATGCCAACACTCGGAAAGCTTTAGCTACTCCTCCCCACGGAGCCCCCAAGGAGACGAAGTCCCTGATGTATTTGTCTTTCCATTCCTGGGGCTGACGGCTGAGGAAGTACAGAGAATACATATTCCCCATGCTGTGGGCAATTAGGACCACCGGTTCGCCATACTCTTCGTACATGATCTCGATCAGCTTCTGGAGAGCTTCAAAATATTCTCCATTCTCGTCTGCAAGGATGAAGACACAGGAGTTATCCAGCGGAAAGAAGGAAGTCATTACCTTCGTTCGGTTGACCTGTCAATAGATTACTAACTTTCAGATTGGCTATTGCACAAGCTGAAACTGCCAGGGAAAGGATGCAAGAATTATTAATAGAGTAATGATTTATTTCGGGGTAGCTTTATATGGTAACGCAAAGGCTCTGCCCAAGGAAATGTAAGAAAGGTGAACGGTTTAATCAATCAATCAATCAATCAATCAATCAATCACAAACACTTCCGAGGGATGTTGCTCAAGTTCTGAATTGGTTATTTGCTAAGTAATTCCTTTTAATTAGGGAGATGTCTTTACCTGAGACTCAAGATAAAGGTAAAGGTTCCCCTTGCACATATGTGCTAGTCGTTCCCAACTCTAGGGGGCGGTGCTCATCTCCATTTCAAAGCCAAAGAGCCGGATCAGCTATTTTCAGAGTAGTTATGGACAAACCAAGGAGATATAGCCACAGATTTAAATGGTATTAAACAACAGAATAGAATATTTTATTGGCCAAGCGTGATAGACACACAAGGAATTTGTCTCCGATACATAAGCTCATAGTGTACATGCAAAACAACAAAGTAATAATAATTATAATAATGATATCAATAAGAGAAGGCAGTGGAACAGATAAGAAGAATAAAAGTAATACAGCCATAAAATAAAGGTAAAAGTACAGGTAAAGGTTCCCCTCGCACATATGTGCTAGTCGTTCCTGACTCTAGGGGGCAGTGCTGATCTCTGTTTCAAAGCCGAAGAGCCAGCGCTGTCCGAAGACGTCTCCGTGGTCATGTGGCCGGCATGATTCAACGCCAAAGGCGCACGGAACGCTGTGACCTTCCCACCAAAGGTGGTCCCTATTTATCTACTTGCATTTTTTTTTTAATGTGCTTTCGAACTGCTAGGTTGACAGAAGCTGGGACAAGTAACGGGAGCTCACCCCATTGTGCGGCACTAGGGATTCGAACCGCTGAGCTGCCGGCCTTTCGATCGACAAACTCAGCGTCTTAGCCACTGAGCCACTGCATCCCTCAAGAAAGGGATGAGGCTCAAGAAATCCCATTTAATTATCATTCGAAGAAATGTGTTGGAAGTTTAGAAGATCCCCTAAATCAGGGGTGTCCAACTTTAAACTTGTCAACTTTAAGCTTTGTGGACTTCAACTCCCAGAATTCTCCAGCCAGCATGGGGAATTCTGGGAGCATGTTGGCTGGGGAATTCCGGGAGTTGAAGTCCACAGGTCTTAAAATTGCCACGGTGGGACACCCCTATCCTAAATGAAGGAATCCTTTCCTCCTGTGTCTCACACTTTCTAAAGGACACAAATATTCCTAGGGTAGATCCCATGATCTGAGAGTAAGATGTTGCAACTGCAAATGATATAATAACTGCAACACACCCAGAAAATACATATATATATTTACACAATGACTTTATGAAGGATATGCACTCTAGCACATTTTCAGGGAGGCCCTAAAGTTAATCTTGATTTCAACAATATTTATAAAACTATGAAGACATACTTGCATTTCAACTTCTGATATAATCACAGAATAAGGACTAAGTCTGGCTAAGACTTCAGTGCTGTCCTTATTTTCTGACACTCCTCCAGCGAATAACAATCACAGAAGTGAAACCTGACATTTCTGATAAAAACTAATTTTGAAAAAATTCTTTTTTAGAACTGCAAAGTTTTTATTCTTTACGTGACTGCCTTTAACCAATTTAGCATTAAAGCCCAACAGTTTGAGTTCAGTGTTGAACATCTATTTTAAAAAGAACGATATTTATATACCTTATAGATGATTTATTTAGTTTTGTGTTTTGAAAAAAAAACTTGTCATTGTTTATTGGGTGATATTTTAAAGCAGGAATTACCATATTTTTTGGAGTATAAGACACACCTTTTTCCCCCACAAAAAAGAGGGTGAAAATCTGGGTGCGTCTTATACTCCGAATGTAGCCCCACCCGGCTTCTCAAACGGAGGTTTCAGAGGCTGAAAAAAGCGTCAGAAAAAAAGCTTCAGAAAAAAAGCCTCCAAACAGAGCTTCAGAAAAAAAAGCCTCCAAACAGAGCTTCAGAAAAAAAAGCCTTCAAACAGAGCTTTAGAGGCCGTTTTTCTGAAGCTGTTTCAGAGGCTTTCAGAGGCAGGAAAAAAAGTTTTTTCTGAAACAGAGTTTCAGAAGTTTCAGAGGCAGGAAAAAAAAGCAAAAAAAAAAAAAAAAGCAAGGCACAGCGCTCACAACCAAGGAACCTATTGCTAAAATTCACCTCTGGGAACAGCTGATTGGGGGTATTCCAGGAGGCCGATCCACCTGCCAATCAGCTTTTTTCTTATTTTCCTCCCCAAAAACTAAGGTGCATCTTATACTCCAGTGCGTCTTATACTCCGAAAAATACAGTATTCGTCTTTTCGTTAGTAGCACTGCACATTCTTTTAGTTATTTCTATTATTGCAGTGTGCTTGTTTAAAAGTGTAACAGTTTACACCAAAAAAAACTGACAAAGAGTTTTGTCAATGGACTCAGTTTTCTAAAAGTTTCTGCCTGAAGTTCATAAATCCAAGTAAAAACTCATGTAGCAAGATGAAATATATTCTGGGCTTCGGTTAAAAAAAGTCTTGGTCTTCCAAGTAAAGGGAAACCAACTTCTATAATCTGTCATAAACAAACAGCAAAAAGCATGATTTGGTTCAAACACTTGCAAACTCCATATGTAAGATCAGCAACAGACTGGGTAAAATAGAGAGGAGCGTTACTTTCCACTGTTGGGGTGCTATTTTTTTTTCCAGCTGTTTTTATGTTTTTATCAGTCTCTCTCTCTCTAATATTTTATCGGCTTTGGCTTTCCTGCAGCATCCGATCAGTGAGGCGAGAAGACTGATTGGCAAACAGTCTCATGACATTCGGTTGCATCAGAGGCTAAACTGCTCAAGGATATTTGCATGCGGTTCTTAGGCTCTCAAATTCCTAAGGTTGCTTAAGTACAGATTAGGCGAAACCTGGCTCAAAAACAATAACTGTGAAAAGGACCTTGGAAACTTAAGTGGACGATCACTTAGACATGAGTCAGCAGTGTGCAGTAGCAGCTGCCAAAAAAGCGAATACAATCCTTGGTTGTATAAACAGGGGCATAGAATCAAAATCACGTGAAGTCTTAGTTGTGAAGTTTCCGAAAGATGCCCTAATTAATTCATGAGCCAAACTTCAAAAGAAATACAGTCATTCCATTTCGGCAATATTCGGATGCAGTTAGAACTAATCCCACGTAGATTTACATTCCCCTATGACCCTGTCTCTCCCCTCCTCTCTGGCCATGTCATAAATCACATTCTCCAATTAACCTCTTTGGCTGGCTGTGAAATCCAACACCCTCCTTCTGATTGCGGTCAGGAAGAATGTATGGAATGCGCTTCAGTTAGGGAAATCAATCAGCTCTGTCAGTTCTCCCTCCCTCCTGCTCATGGCAACTTGAAAGCTTTGCAAGTTGACATTAGTACTGTTTTATAAAGCCATAGTAAGGCCCCACTTGGAATCCTGCATCCAGTTTTGGTCACCACATTACAAAAAAGATGCGGAGACTTTGGAAAAAGTGCAAAGAAGAGCAACTAAGATGATTAAAGGCCTGGAGACTGAAACATATGAAGAACGGTTGCAGGATTTGGGTTTGGCTAATCTAGAGAAAAGAAGGACTAAGGACAGTGTTTCTCAACCTTGGAAGCTTGAAGATGGGTGGACTGCAATTCCCAGAATCCCCCAGCCAGCGCTGCTGGCTGGGGGATTCTAGGAGTTGAAGTCCACCCATCTTCAAGCTACCAAGGTTGAGAAACACTGACTAAGGGGGACATGATAGCATTATTCCAGTATTTGAGAGGCTGCCACAAAGAGGAGGGGATCAATTTATTTTCCAAAGCACCAGAGCATAGGACAAAGAAACGATGGATGGAAACTAATCCAGGAGAGAAGCAACCTGGAATTAAGGAGAAACTTCCTAACAGTGAGGACAATTAACCAGTGGAATAGCTTTCCTTCAGACCTAGTGGGTGTTTCATCACTGGGGGGGGGGGGTTAAGACAACACTGGACAGAAGACAGAAGAAGCCACTTTTCTGAAATGACATAGGTCAGTGATGACTAACCTTTTTGCCATCGTGTACCAAAAGTGAGGGGAGCATGGAGGGGTCTGGCGCATGTGTGTCCACACCCATAATTCAATGCACCCCGCCCTCCCATGCCTGCACATGCGACACCACCACCACCCCCGCGCTCCCACTTCTTTTGGCACGCGATGGCACGGTGGGCCCAGTAGGCCTGTTTTTGCTCTCCCCAGGCTCCAGGGGCTTTCTAGGAGCCTGGGGAGGGCGAAAACAGCCTTCCCCACCGACCTGGAGGCCCTCCGGAAGTTGGAAAGACCCTGTTTCCTGACTTCCAGTGGGCCCGGAAGGCCCAAAAATCAGCTGGCCGGCACGCACAATGGCACTGGAGTTGAGCTAGGACAACGCTTGTGTGCCCACAGATATGGTTCCGTGTGCCACATGTGCAATAGGTTTGCCATCATGGGTATAAGTTCTCCTGCTTGAGCAGGAGGCTGGACTAGAAGACCTCCGTGGTCCCTTCCAGCTCATTCTGATTCTTAAAAGCAAAAGCAGGCATGAATTATCCCTAAAGAGTTTCAGGCATTTTATTTACAGGTATTCAGAAAAGCCACTGGAGAGAATAACTCCGCTCTATTCTGATTCTGAGGTTTTTAAGCACAAGCAGCAGTATGAACCGGTCAAGAAACTTGTGATATTTTTTATTAGGCATTTTACCAGAAATATATAACGAAGAACTGCAGTATTTAATTGTGAGTCTTCTAACAGCAACTAGAATTGTATTTGCTAAAAATTGGAAAGAAGAAATGATACCTACGGATGAAGAAATTATTAGGAAAATGTTGGACTGTGCCGAAATGAGTCAACTGACGTTTGAAATAAGAGAGCAGGAAGAAAAACAATATTATTTGATATGGGATCTATTTTACCATTAGGTAGATAATAAAAAATGGTGATATGTAAGTAAATGTAAGAAATACTTTAAATGATGATACAACCGATATATATTATATAAGAATAAATTTTGGATATGTAGTGATATTGTGAAGAGAGGAGAGGGCACTAGGGATGCAAACCGACCGATGTACTGTCTTCTCCTTGATTGAATGAGTGATGTTTATATGTTTTATTTTTATTTTATTTTATTTTTTGTTTTAAAATAAAAAATGATTTGGCAAATAAAATAAAATAAAATAAAATAAAATAAAATAATAAAATAAAATAATAAAATAAATAAAATAAAATAAATAAAAAATAAAATAAAAAATAATAAAATAAAATAAAATAAAATAAAATAAAATAAAATAAAATAAAATAAATAAAATAATAAAATAAAATAAAATAAAATAAAATAAAATAAAATAAAATAAAATAAAGAAACATGTGATTGCCTGAATCCCTTGTCAGTCTAGCAGATTAAATGTCTCGCACAGTAACAGAAATATTGGGCTCAATCGTGGTCACAAGTTGAGGACTACCTGTACTCTAGTCCTCTTTTATGTTTTTGGCTACCATATATTAACAAGGAAATTCTTTTTCTCCTGAACAAGTTGGAAAGCTTCCACGCAGCATATCCAACGTTCCAAATTCTTATGAAATCTAACCCTCACGATCTTGTTTTGCAAAGATAGGTAAAGGAAGCAGCACTTTGCAAGAATGAAAGGAAGGTTCTCTCCTACACACACACACACACACACACACACACACTGGGGAAGTTGTTGTGGGTTTTTTTAATTTATTTTTTATTTTTTGCTCTTTAGCGGTTGAAAATAAAACCTGACTGGCGAGGCAACAAAATTAAAGTCTCAACTGCAGCTGCCAAGTGCCGAAGAAGGAACAGAACCAGCAAAAATAGCATCACATCATGTGCCAAAGGGACATCTTCCACAATGGGCTGGGATTGGTTTTTGGGAGACAAATCGCAGAAGGTTCCAAACAGGGGCGGGAGAAGAGATGAGCAGCACAGCAGAAAACATCCTAGATCAGTGTTGGTGAACCTTTTCGGCACCGAGTGCCGAAACTGGAGCGTGCACATGCCGGAAACTGGAAGAGCAGCTGCCCGGCACACGCATGCGTGTCGAGCCACTGTCCTTCCGCTTTCCGGCATGCATACACGCGTGAAGACCAGATGGCCAGCGTGCATGAGCACACTGGAACGCAAAAGAGCAACTGCCGACAGCGCATGTGACCAGAGAGAGATGGCTCTGCGTGCCACTTCCAGCACGTGTGCTGTAAGTTCCCCATCACTGTCATAGATCAATGGCAAAAAGCAAAGTTTCTTAGGACAGAAAGTGGACAAAGTTTGATTCATGATGTTCAGGGGGCTTAATTATACCACAGACTTAAAAAAACAAAAACAAAATACAGACGGAATTTCAGTTGCACCATAATGATTTTTTGGGAGAATAACCTGAGAACACCTGGTCACTGTATACAAACAGAATAACAAAGCTGGAAGGGACCTTGGAGGTCTTCTAGTCCAACCCCCTGCTTAGGCAGGAAACCCTACACCACTTCAGACAAATGGTTATCCAACATCTTCTTTAAAACTTCCACTGTTGAAGCATTCACAATTCTGAAGGCAAGTTGTTCTAACTGTCAGAAAATTTCTCCTTAGTTCTAAGTTGCTTCTCTCCTTCATTAGTTTCCATCTGCTGCTTCTTCTCCTGCCTTCAGATGCTCCGGAGAATAGCTTGACTCCCTCTTCTTTGGGGCAGCCCCTGAGATATTGGAACACTGCTATCATGTCTCCCCTAGTCCTTCTTTTCATCAAACTAGACATACCCAGTTCCTGCAACCGTTCTTCATATGTTTTATCCTCCAGTCCCCTAATCATCTTGTAATCATTATCCTTTTTTTTTTCTCCCCATTTATGCATTTGAAAATTTAAAGTCAAAAGGACTGGGGGATTCATCCATTGAGAAAATAACTGCCAGGGGAGATAAAACCCCACATCAAAAACAGAGTTTTTAAGTACCAACAACATTCTGATTCTATGTCGACGAGGCGCTCCCATGTGACACCTCTCCTGCGCGAGCTGCACTGGCTCCCGGTGGTCTTCCGGGTGCGCTTCAAGGTGTTGGTGACCACCTTTAAAGCGCTCCATGGCTTAGGGCTGGGGTACTTACGAGACTGCCTTCTGCCACCAATAGCCTCCCACCGGCCAGTGCGCTCACACAGAGTGGGCCTCCTCAGGGTGCCGTCCGCCAGACAGTGCCGGCTGGCGACCCCCAGGGGGAGAGCCTTCTCTGTGGTGGCGCCCACCCTCTGGAACAACCTCCCCCCAGAGTTACGGATAATAACAGACCTCCGGATTTTTCGTCGGGCCCTGAAAACCCATTTATTTCAACTAGCTGGGCTGGCTTGAGTCAAATTTTAAACTGATTTTAAATTGGAATTGTTTTAATTACGGCCAAAAGATTTAATTATTTTAATCAGTTTTTAGATTTTGTATGTTTTGTATGTATGTCTTGTTTTATTTTGGCTGTTCACCGCCCTGAGTCCTATATTGGAGAAGGGCGGTATAGAAATTTAAACAAATAAAAAATAAAATGTCTTCTTACCTGCACAGGCTACATATGCTACTCTGCCTGCTGACATGTGACCATTTGAGGGGGACATGGGACATTTCACAACGAAGTGCCAGGTTGCCCATCATCTCGGTGGCGCAGTGGTTAGAGTGCAGTACTGCAGGCTACTCCTGTGGACTGCCGGCAGTTTGAATCTCACTAGGCTCAAGGCTGACTCAGCCTTCCATCCTTCCAAGGTGGGTAAAATGAGGACCCAAATTGTTGGGGGCAATAGGCTGACTCTGTAAACCGCTTAGAGAGGGCTGCAAAAGCACTGTGAAGCGGTATATAAGTCTAAGTGCTATTGATACTGCCCTTCGTGCGTTCGTCCTCCCTCCCTCTCCTTCACCTTCCTTTCCTTGGTGATGCTGGGGTTAGAATGCAGTAATGCAGGCTAACTCTGCCCACTGCCAGGAGTTTGATCCTGACAGGGCTCAGGGTTGACTTTGGCTTCCATCCTTCCGTGGTGAGTAAAACGAGGATGCAGATTGTTGGGGGCAATAGGCTGACTCTGTAAACCGCTTAGAGAGGGCTATAAAAGCACTGTGAAGCGGTACATAAGTCTAAGTGCTATTGCTATCTTGCTTTTTAATTGTAACTTTAAACTTTTTATTCTATTTTTATTGTTTTTTACACGTTTAAGCTTTGATTATTTATTTAGAACGTTTATATAGCCGTGAATTTGTTCACAGTGACTCTAAGAGGCTTGCAAACAATAAAAAAATACAGTATAGAAAAAGCAATAAAAATAATCAATAACCGCCATTCCAGTGACAACACATGGTCAAATAAGCCACTTGATGGCCTTCATCCCACTTTGGGTTCCCCAGGCCCACTGACAAAACCAGATCTTAAAGGGTTGATATTCCAAGCTTATCCTGTAAGTTGCACAGGGTCACTGTTTTAGTGAAATAGGTACCACAGAAATTCCATCTAGATATATATATATAAAAGCGAAAAGCACTCATGCCATAATCATGAAATCTCCAGAACCGTAAAGCCTACAAACTTGAAATTTGCTATGTATGTTCCTCTTGGTGCTCACTAAGGAAAGATTTTTCAAAATGACCATCAGAGCATTAGTATCTCCTATATTATTATAACACGCCCTGATGTTAATTAGTTAGAAATTCTACTCCGCCTCCCAACTTTTTTTTTTTTAATTTGATTTATATGCCGCCCTTCTCCGGAGACTCAGGGCGGCTTATAATGCGTTAAGCAATAGCCCTCATACTTTTGTATATATTTTATACAAAGTCAGCTTATTGCCCCCACAACTGGGTCCTCAATTTACCTACCTTAGAAAGGATGGAAGGCTGAGTCAACCTTGAGCCTGGCGAGATTCGAATTTACAGTAATTGCAGACAGCTTGTGTTAAATTACAATGCTTTTAGTCTGCAAAGCCCCCAGGCCCCTGGTGGCTGCTTGAAAATAACTCTGGAGAGAACGGGATAGCATAGGACAGGCTTCTGTGGGGCAAGGCAGAGGGAGAGAAGGGGATAGGATAAGGGAGGCTTCTGTGGGGCAAGGCAGAGGGAGAGAAGGGGATAGGATAAGGGAGGCTTCTGTGGGGCAAGGCTGAGAGAGAGAAGGGGATAGTATAAGGGAGGCTTCTGTGGGGCAAGGCAGAGGGAGAGAAGGGGATAGGATAGGGGAGGCTTCTGAGGGGCAAGGCTGAGAGAGAGAAGGGGATAGGATAAGGGAGGCTTCTGAGGGGCAAGGTTGAGAGAGAGAAGGGGATAGGATAAGGGAGGCTTCTGTGGGGCAAGGCAGAGGGAGAGAAGGGGAGAGGATAGGGGAGGCTTCTGTGGGGCAAGGCCGAGAGAGAGAAGGGAAGAAGAGAGGCTGATCGTAACTACTAATTAAGTTTCAAGCTGTAAGTGTCAATTTATCAAGCCCCATCACATAGTTTTGTAGCGAAGCACGGGTATTCAGCTAGTAAATAAATAACCTTAATTTCCTGAGTAAAATTATCTACGAATACTTGAGGTCCAGAAGCAACCTTGTGGGGGGGGGAGGGACGACCCATTATTTAAAAGGTGGCCTTTTGCTTGATAGCACGGTAGCTTTCTTATTAAAACAAACTTTTAATAATCTTATTATCCAAAGATTTATGAGCCCAAATCCTTATAATAATGAATGTCATACTTGGTGCCTTCCGCCAATCGTAAGGGGCGCCTCTGATGCTTTCATCTCGCTCATAGCCCAGGTCTACCAGTTTTTGCACCAGCGTGTAGAAGTATGTGCCTGAAGATAAAGAGAGAATTTGTGAGTCAGCAAAAGTTCAATCAACAAATCTTCCTTTTGCACAGAGCGAGCTTAGATCAGGGATTCTTCTGCAGCCAATTCTCGTGCCTTGCTTTTCAAGGGGGCCATGGACTGAATGAGCTATTATGTGTAGAAATACATTCCTACTCACTTTGAAGCTTTTCCCTTTTTATTACTAATTTAAATTAACAAAATGTACTTATTTTTAATTTAAAAATATTCTTTTTTTAAAAAAAAATACTCAATTTCTGCAAATGTCCACACCAGGTTGCATTATCTTTCAGTTTAATGTTTCCTTAGTTGCTGAAGGCAGGGAAGGAGGGGGCGCGATGGCTCAGTGGATAAAGATGCTGAGCTTGCCAGCTGGAAAGCTGACAGTCGGGGCTCGAGTTCCGAGTGCTGCGTATATGATGGGGTGAGCTCCCGTCACTTGCTCCAGCTCCTGCCCACCTAGCAATTCAAAAACATGCAAATGCGAGTAGAACGAATTGTTTCCTACAAAAGCCCCCTCCCCGTTCACTCCTCTTTTGTTTCCTATGGGAGGGGCCAATCATCTTCAAGGTGTGGCTTTACTCCCAAGTTGACCCTGCTTTCTGAGTTGTTGTCTTCTGGCAGCTCTGCGCATGCGCACACTGGTAACGGGCTCCAGCTGTTCCTCTGCCTCACTGCTGTCTATCTCCCTCTCTGCTTCCAACTCAGAGCCCTCGTCCGAGTTTTCTCCAGCCCCCAGGACTGGCCCATGTTCCTCCCCAACCTCCTCACTGTCCGACTCTGCTGCCAGCTCTCCTGGCCGCAGGCGGGCCACAACAATACCTTGATGAAAACAGATTACGTACCAACACTTCTTTTACTAGGATCAAGGAACTCCAATGCAAAGGTCTTCCCAAATCCAGGGACTTTGATATTGACCCCATCCGGGGGAGCAGTAGCGCCGCTAGTTCGATTGTACACTAGCCTGGAGAGAAAAATCAACATTAACTCAAACAGGAACAGAATCGTATCTCGTCGTGTATTGTAGCCTATTGTCATCCTCCGTGCCAATCTTTCTGGAAGTTTATTAGCTGGTAGCCGTCAGCATGGACTTTATGGACCTATTTTTCTGGATCTAAGTTATTTAAAAAAAGGGGGGGAGCCCGTTTGAGTTCTAGTGATCAAAATACTCAGAATATATTGAATTTTGTTGAAAAGAAGGTAGCCAACTCGTAAGGTTCTAGGGGGGTGCTTTGTTCTGAGCTGAAAATAAATTGTTTGAAATTAACCATATTCTATTTAATACTTACACATCGTAGCTATCAGTTAAATAAAATCTACATCTTAAATGGAATTTGGTGAATTTGTTTCTTCAATATCGGTTTTCAGTATCATTGCATACCATTGCAGGGCAAAAAAAAGTCTAGGGAGTGATTGCCTTCCTTTAATAATTTACTGGTAAGTTGAACGTGCTGTAAACATTAGCCTGCATTTTGGCACATTCCACTTAAGAGTTGGGATGCTGTCGGTCAGCTTTGAGTAGCGTAGTTTAATGAAGTCCTTCAAGAAGACTTAATACAGCCTATGAAATTCACTTATTCACTTAACGCTGCAAGTCCAAAAAATTAAAATTTAATTGTTACAAAAGGATCCTGAGAATTACACTGTTAGTTCACCTTTCCCAATCAAAGGGGTACTGGGCTATACAGCTCTCAGAATTCAAAATCACCATGGATAGGCAACAGGCCCTAGAGATCAGAATTCTGGGAATTATTATTTCAACGCATTAGTTAATTAGGACACATTCGTTAGTTTTAAGCAAACTAATTAGGTTAAAACTTAATTGCCAGGTGGTTTTTCTTAGCCAGTGGTGTTCTCCACACCACACCTTTATAATCAAGATCAATAGAAGCATGGATGACCTACCAATCCTGAAATCTCACCGTTTTAACGGTTTCACTTAATTTTGCAATTGATATAACTAATGGCTGCAAATGGCCATTCTAACCAGTAAATGAACAAACGCCTTTGTCAACAAGAGATTTATTAACTTGCTTCTACTTTCCGGTTTGGGGAAAGTGAGGGGGGGGGAGAGATTACATCATCTGTACTGTTTGTTCTTTTTGAAGTACTGCACATTCATGTGACAACTAAATTGATCATTAATTCACAGCTAACATGCAAAGAAGACAACGTAATCAGATGCTTGAAAAGCACAGTGCAAGATGGGTAACTGTTGAAACTCAAAGTGACTTGACCTCTATTTATTCGTAGTAATGTCACAAGATTTAAACCTTAAGCCTTCCTATGTCATAGTGCCACAGCTTTTGGGGGTACCTTTCTCCCAGATTCATCCACCCACCCTGGCCCTATTTAAAAGATAAAGGTTCCCCTCGCACATATGTGCTAGTCGTTCCCGACTCTAGGGGGTGGTGCTCATCTCCGTTTCAAAGCCGAAGAGCCAGCGCTGTCCGAAGACGTCTCCGTGGTCATGTGGCCGGCATGACTCAACGCCAAAGGTGCACGGAACGCTGTTACCTTCCCACCAAAGGTGGTCCCTATTTTTCTACTTGCATTTTTTACCTGCTTTCGAACTGCTAGGTTGGCAGAAGCTGGGACAAGTAACGGGAGCTCACCCCATTACGCGGCACTAGGGATCCGAACCGCTGAACTGCCGACTTTTCGATCGACAAGCTCAGCGTCTTAGCCACTGAGCCACTGCATCCCTCTGGCCCTATTTAAATGAGCCTTAAAATTTGGCTCTATCTCCAGGCGCACAGAATTGGGGATGATGGGTCCCTTAGTATGGTCTTCTCCAACCCCAGGTCCTGAATTATTGTGGGTAATGGAACCCTTGGTAGGGTTTTCTGATCAATGAGTGCTTTTTTCCCAGATTTTGGATGATTTAATTAAGTTATATACCGTATATACTCGAGTATAAGCCGACTTTTTCAGCACATTTTTTATGCTGAAAAAGCCCCCCTTATACTCGAGTAAATAAAATAAATGAAATAAATATTCAAAAACATTTAACCTACTGATGCCTCAATTAATGCTGCTCAATGTAGCTGCTGCATTTCCCACCCTAGGCTTATTACTCGGGTCAATAAGTTTTCCCAGTTTTTTGTGGTAAAATTAGGTGCCTCGGCTTATATTCGGGTCAGCTTATACTCGAGTATATACGGTAATATTGCTGTGTGGGGTCCTTGGTGCTCTCTGAGCTGGGTTGTTTTTCTTGCAGGCGTTTCACTCCCAAACAAAGTAACATCATCAGTGCTGTAATATTGCTGTACTTGGTTACCCCACCCCACCCCAGACTCATAATCAATCAGGGCAGCCTGTAAATTCAATAATAAATCCACTCAATGGTTGCAGAGCGTTTTTTTTTCCCTCTTAATTCGTGATGAGTCTTAATTTCTAGCCAGTCTTTTGACACACACACAAACACACAGAGACACACCCCTCCCACATCCCGGTGTCTGACTGAATGATACAAACAACAGTGCGGCCCACCTGATATTATCTATCCAGCAGTCAATGATAACTGGAAGCAACAATTCTAAATTCAGCCACAATGTAAAATAACTGTCTGTCTTCTTAGAGCAGAGATAGTGCACCACGGATGGTTTGTCCAACTTGGCTTCTAGCTGGTTTCCCAAATCTCCTGGCACTGTAATTATACAAGACAGGAAGACTTACATGAAATTCTGTAAAATTTAATCCAAGCCTTTTTTTTTTCTCTCAGACATTGCCTTCGATCAGGGGTCGGCAACCTTAAACACTCAGAGAGCCACAAAGGCCTTAACCGGAAGCCCCCCGTTCAATTCTGGAGCTGACCGGAAGTCCGGTTCCCCCCACCATAGAGTCTCCTCCTAGCACGGCATCGTTTTTCCTCTACCAGTCCTAACCGAAGGCCCTATCAATTGTGGAGCTACCGGAAACCCCCCCCCCCTTGCCATAGAATCTCCTCCTGGCACGCCATGCTTCCCCCCCACTCCACCGCCAACCGGAAGCTCCTTTCAAAATTGTGGTGCCGACCGGCGACAGGGAGCTGCAGCAGAGGGATGAAAGAGCCACATACGGCTCCAGAGCCACAGGTTGCTGACTCCTGCCTTAGATGCTTAAGAACACGTCGTATTTTATTTTCCTACGTGAAACTCTTTCTGGTCTCTATGGGCACCGTAGAATTGTTGAAAGTTGACAGGACGGCGGCTTTTCAGAAAGCAAATCAGTGAGGTGGATTCCCAGCAACATGGGTAGCCCTCGACTTATGATAGTTCATTTAGTGACCGTCCAAAGTTACAACGGCACTGAAAAAAGTGACTTATGACCGTTTTTCACACTTACAACCAACCGTTGCAGCCTCCCCGTGGTTATGTGATCAAAATTCAGGCGCTTGGCAACGGACTCACATTTATGGCGGTTGCCTTGTCCAGGAGAGTTACATGATCCCCTTTTGTGACTTCCTTACAAGCAAAGTCAGTAGGGAAAGTTAAGCAGCTCTGCTTCTTACAAGCAAACTGTTACTCACATAACCACTGTGGCAAGAAAGGTCGTAAAACAGGGCAAAAATTCACTTAACGAAAGTTTCACTTGGCAGCAAAAAATTTTGGGCTCCATTGTGGGCCGTAAATTGAAGACTACCCGTATTCCCAGAACAGCGTTTCTTAACCCGTCTGACCCCTTTAAGAAGCCTGGACTTCAACTCCCAGAATTCCCCAGCCAGATTTAGAGTCCCAGTTTAGCATTTTTCTTCCCCTTCCTAATCAGATGGCATACTTAACAATCAAAGAACTGGATCAGCAATAACCTCCCATGTTTATTTCCTAAGCAATGTCTGTGGATTTTACTGGGCTCAAAGGTTTCCCGCTAGGCAAAGTGGATCGCTCAAAAGTTTTATTTGAGCGAAAGAGATCACATCCGCTGCCTTTGGCTAAACAGTTCTGTTAGGATTTTAACAAATATCTAACGGAGTTTCCTAAACAGCTCATATCCTTCTTAATATGAAAGGGTTTTTTTCTTAGTGAGCAATGGCCTGGCAAAAATTTCCCACAAAGATCATTAAGACAGTCATTTCCTAAGCATCCTTTTGCTAGCTCTTCGCAGGCAAATATCTCCCTCGACGAAACAGAAAAAACATATCTGCAGAATACCCCATGGTCACGTGATCAGAATTTGGAGGGTTTAGTAATTGGAATCTCTTTATGATTCCAGTTTGGCAGTTCGAATCTCAGCAGGCTCAAGGTCAATTCAGCCTTTCATATTTCCGAAGTGAGTAAAATGGGGACCCAGATTGTTGGGGGCAAGAGGCTGACTCCGTAAATTGTTTAAAGAGAGCTGTAAAACACTGTGAAATGCTATATAAGTCTAAGTGCTATTGCTATGATGTTTGCAGTCAGGGTGGATAAAAATTGATGATTTTTTTTAAATCTTTTTTTTTAAATGGATTTTTTAAAATTTAAATAGGATTTTTTTAATTTAAATCAGATTTTTTTAATTTAAATCATTTTTTTATTTTTATCAAATTCATTTTAATAAAATGCTTTTGGAGTAAAAAGTCTATCTAAAGAGAATTTTCTATTTAAGATACATTTTTTAGTTTTTAATGGTTATTAATTGTTTAGTTTTAATTTGTTAATGGGTTTTAATTCGCACTGTTTTAATTCGGGCCAAAGTATATAATTCTTTTAATTAATTTTAAATTTTGTATTGTTATGTATTTTAGTTTTGGCTGTGCACCGCCCTGAGTCCACTAGGAGAAGGGCGGTATATAAATTGAATAAATAATAAATAATAATAATAATAATTAGCAATTTAGTTTATTCAGCATGAAACAGAGCTTAGTTATGTAGCATGAGGCTATATATTCTGCAATATTGGGACTGTTGGTGAGTCAATAGCAGGTCAGAGGAGGAGCTGCTGCGGGACAGAGATGACAGTTGCTCTTTAAAAATTATGATTTAAACCGAGTTGATTTAAATCAAGCCTTTTTATTAGTGATTTAAATAATGGCCGTCCTGTTTGCAGTGTCCTGGAATTAAATGATCACCAGTTGTGATCGTCCCACTGGACTTCTGACAAGCAATGTCAATGGGGGGGGCAATCACGGGACACACCCCCCCCCAGGATACTGAAATCCTATATGCCAGTTGCCAAGTGCCCAAATTCTGATCACATGACTGTAGGGATGCTGCAACGGTCAAGAGTTTTCTGGATCGGGACGCCTTGCGCACGGTCACTCATGCCCTAGTTACCTCCCGTATGGACTACTGTAATGCTCTCTACATGGGGCTCCCCTTGAAAAGCACCCGGAGGCTCCAACTGGTCCAGAACGTAGCCGCGCGGGTGATTATGGGCGCAGCTCGTTACGCCCATGTAACACCTCTCCTATGCGAGCTGCACTGGCTCCCGGTGGTCTTCCGGGTGCGATTCAAGGTGTTAGTTATCACCTTTAAAGCGCTCCATGGCTTAGGACCTGGGTACCTACGAGACCGTCTTTTGCCACCAATAGCCTCCCACCGACCAGTTCGTTCTCACAGGGAGGGACTACTCAGGGTACCGTCAGTCAAATTATGTCGACTGGCGACTCCCAGGGGGAGGGCCTTCTCTGTGGGGGCTCCAACCCTTTGGAATGAACTGCCCCCGGAGATACGGAATATCCCTGATCTCCGTGCTTTCCGCCATGCCCTCAAGACCCTGATGTTCCAATAGGCGGGGCTAAACATATGAACATGTGAATGATTTTTTAAAATGTTATCTAATTCTGGGTTTTATTTAATTGACCAAACTAAGTAATAATTTTAATTAGCAATTTTATGATGTTTGTGTGTCTATATTTTTCTTGACTGTACACCGCCTTGAGTCCTACGGGAGAAAGGCGGTATAGAAATAAATAAATAAATAAATAAATAAATAAATAAATAAATAAATAAATAAATAAGAAAGAGTGAGGTTTGGCCATAAGTCACTTGTTTCAATACCATTGTAACTTCAAATGCTAGCACTTAGCTGCCAGCTGCCTGCAATTAGTGCAAGTTCGAATCTCACCAGGCTCAAGGTTGACTCAGCCTTCCATCCTTTCGAGGTAGGTAAATTGAGGACCCAAATTGTGGGGTCAATAAGCCGACTTTGTATAGAACAACACCGCTTGGGGGGGCCCCGAAAACCCTAATAAGCAGGTATATACAAAAAAAGTATGCAGGCTATTGCTATAATGCATTGTAAACTGCCCTGAGTCTACGGAGAAGGGCAGCATATAAATTGGACTAATAATAAATAATAATAATAATAAATAAATAAATGGCCACTAAATGAGTGGCCATTAAGTCAAGTTCTACCTGTACAGCATCATATTGCAGATACTATGTAGTTGTGTTTAAAACTCTCTCTTTCGGTATGTACAAATCACAGAGGTTCTCCTGAATAGGTTTTCACCTACAATAATCTCTAGCATTTATCATTTGGCTCCAGTGAATTCAGATTTACTCTAATTAAACCTTATTAATAAAGCAGAAATAATTGTGTGTGGAAACAGGGAAAAAAAAGAGTTGGATATTGCAATACTATTTTCAAGGAGTATAAACATCATTGTTTTTGAAACAATCTAATGTAACAAGATTTGTAACAATATAGCACAAAAAAGGAAAAACGAGGGTTTTTTTTGTAACCTTCCACTAAAAGATAATTTTGTATTCCTATTTATAACTGTTGCAAAAAAAAAACAGAAGTTACTTCCGATTTCTTGCTGCACTTCTGACTTTTTTCACTTTATATTAGTTTGTGTTTCCTTTGATAAAAATTGTGCGTGTGTATGTGTGTATATACACAAAACAAAGTACAAAATGGGCAGTTAGTCAACAATTTGTTTCTCTCTGCCACAGAAACATTCCAATGGAAAATCACCATCTATCATATTTATGGCATACAGAAAGGGATTAGAAGCCAAAGAATTCTCCCAAGGAGAATTTAGACTTATATACAGTAGTGGCCAAAATTGTGGAAACTTTTTGGGAAAAGTGTATTTTTGAGGTTTGATGGCTAATAACACCACTTTTTTGGGGGAGTTTCAAGATAATCCTATTCCACTGCTGGGATGGCCTGGGAAGAGCCCAGACCTTCACCCAATTGAAAATCTATGGAGCCGACTAAAGAAACTGGTTAGTCAGAAGCGACCCAGCAATAAAACCCAGTTAATAGAAGCCATCATTCAATCTTGGTTTCACATTATAACAGCTGCAGAACTAAAAGACTTGGTTCACTCCATGAGAAGATGTTGTAAGGCCGTAATTCATGCTAAAGGTTACCCAACTGACATGGTGATAATTTTTGTATATTTCATTTTTTTTATGGTGATAATTTTTGTATATCTCATTTTTTCTATGTGTTTCACTTTTCTTCTTTATACTGTCACTGCTATTCTAATAGCAAATCCTTCATAAAAGTTATTGCATTACATTCTTGATTAAAGTATCTTTCCATTGATATATAATTTTATGGTACTACTACTCCCAAAAAAAAGTGGTGTTATTAGCTAGTTTTTAAAAAATACACTTTTCCCAAAAGGTTTTTACAATTTTGGCCACTACTGTACTGCTTCTCTTGGCAAATAAATGGTAGTGACAGATTTTATTTTCCTGGGCTCCAAGATCTCCGAAGATGGGGACTGTAGCC